CCCCACTTTCCTCCCACACAAACCTGCTCCAACACCCCCTTTCCTCCCACACAAACCTGCTCCAACACCCCCCTTTCCTCCCACACAAACCTGCTCCAACACCCCCTCCCTTCCCCCACCGTGGCGTTGTAGTCACCGCCACACCTACAACCCTTAACATGCCCTCGCCCCGCTGACAGCTTTTCATTTTGCCTTTTTACAACTTGAGAATTCGGCAGAGTTGTTGGGCGAGCTGTCCGGCACGATAAATCCTCCCCCTCCACCTTTTTTTTTTCTTTTTTTTTTAAGTTTCCAAGAGTCTCTCCCCAAGACGTGTGCAAAAATCTTGTTTGCCCGGAGCGCGGTCCAGCGTCACTCTTCATCAATAGAAGCTCAAACAACCCCCTTAGTTGGCCTCCGCCTTCCACCACCATCACTCTGTTTCTCCTCCTCGTGATCAACCAGGCTGTGTCTCATACGTCAGTCTGCGTCCAACAGCCTGGTTGATCAGTCCAGCAACTAGGAGGCCTGGTCGACGACCGGGCCGCGGGGACGCTAACCCCCGGAAGCACCTCAAGGTAACCTCATAAAAGCAGGCAAATATTTTCACCTACTTAAAATATATGTTTACTCGAGATGCTAAACCTAAATCATCAAGCATATTGATATATAGTTTAGTAAACTACTGTTTACCTCACTACCGTGGATAAGTAAAAGTTCATTCAGCTGGGCACTATTAGGGGGGGGGGGGCCTCCAATACCCAGTGGTGTAGTTGATAGAGCGACCGTGTCCCGTGCTGGTGGTCTCGTGTTCGAGGCTCCTAATGCCTTAAGTGAATGAAAAATATAATATATAATATTTATTATACCAGGAAATATTATATCCTCTTATTTATATTATTATATATCTATATTATATCTACTATATATTATATTATATCTATTCGAGGAAATCTACAGCCTCTAGGAAGCGAACTTTTTCTTGTGTCCTCTTAATGTTCATTTTTGTATAAAATCAGATATGTAACTGTATAACCTTGCATAATAAAGTGTACACCATAAAAAAAAGGTGTACGCTTTACAAGTTTTTCTCTGAATGCTCTGTGTTCCCTTCTCTGAGGCTGTGGGTCCCTATTATTGCATCAGACGATATATAATACAATATATATATATAAATATATATATATATATAATATATATATATATATATATTATATATATATATATATATATATATATATATATATATTATATATATATATATTATATATATATATATATATATATATATATATATATATATTATATATATATATATATATATATATATATATATATATATATATTATTTAATATATATATATATATATATACTATATATATATATATTATATATATATATATATAGTATATATATACTATATATATATATATAGTATATATATACTATATATATATATATATATATATATATATATTATATATATATATATATATATATATATATATATATATATATATATATATATATATTATATATTTTAACAGTAATTTACATTGGTCCTTGTGATCCTAAAATTAATGTCAACATGCTCGTGAAGTAAAGAACGGCAGAAACCTAAAACAATTTATTTTTTACTGTAAAACTGTAAATTTATCCGTCTACTATTCGAAACTTGTACTTTTCACAAACGCCAGTTACTTCGTTTCAAAATCAATCCTAACAAAAAAATATTTCGAGCAGTTCTAAACGAATTTCGAAACTAATCTGAACTTATTTAATAAGTTCAGATTATTAAGTAGTTAATTATTAATTAGTTCGTATTAAATAAGAACTAATCATCATGATACGAAAAGGATGAGGTGACTCTTAAACCCAGTCGTAGGTGACCGGGCCCAGGCAAACTGACACACGGAAGATTGGCAAATATATGCCTTCAGGTGATAATTAAATAATTGAAAACCTGGAGAGTGGAAGGACGGGAGACTGAGGAAAGGAAAGGAGAATTGGGGGGTGGGATAGGGGAAGGAGAGGTGGGAGGGGGGGATAAGGGAAGGAGAGGTGGGAGGGGGAGGAGAGGGGAAGAAGAGAGGAGGGAGGGAAGGTGAAAGTGGAGGAGAGGGAAGAGTAGGTAGTAGTAGTAAGCAGGAGTAAATAACTACAGGGTCATTGCTTCCCCCTCCACCATATTTCAATTTAGCTTAGTCCCCCTGCTAAGCTGGTTCTCGTCCTTACTGCCTGCAAGCACGCGCCAGCACACACACACACACACACACACACACACACACACACACACACACAGGATTGTGACCAAAGAGCCAAAGCTCAACCCCCGCAAGCACAATTAGGTGAGTACACACTGTGTGTGTGTGTGTAATCTAGGAGTGGATATCACACCAAACCTGTCTCATGAACCCCACATGAAAAGAATGACATCTGCGGCGTATGCAAGGCTGGCTAACATCAGAGCTGCCTCAGGAACCTGTGTAAGGAATTATTCAGAACCTTGTATACCACATATGTAAGACCAGTCCTGGAGTATGCGGTCCAAGCATGGAGCCCGTACCTTGTCAAGCACAAGACGAAGCTGGAAAAAGTTCAGCGGTATGCCACTAGGCTAGTCCCAGAACTAAGAGGCATGAGTTACGAGGAAAGGCTGCATGAAATGCACCTCAGGACATCGCAAGACAGAAGAGTGAGGGAAGACATGATCATTACCTACAAAATTCTTTGAGGAATTGACAGGGTAGCTATGGATAAACTGTTTAACACTGGTGGGACGCGAACAAGGCGACTCAGGTGAAGACTGAGTACCCAAATGAGCCACAGGGACGTTAGAAAGAACTTTTTCAGTGTCAGTAGTTAACAGATGGAATGCATTAGGCAGTGATGTGGTGGAGGCAGACTACATACACAGTTTCATATGTAGATATGATAGAGCCCAGTAGGCTCAGGAAGCTGTATACTGGTTGACTGACAGTTGAGAGTCGAGACCAAACAGCCAGAGCTCAACCTCCTCAAGCACAACTAGGGACAATCCCTCACACATGGGAAATATCATCTCACAATTCTAGAGAACAGAAGAAACAGAGAGAACATTATATTAAGGACGCTATATTACCCGTCCTTGGCACTGCTACACCTTTCCACACATGGTGAGATCAGGATAGGAGGATTTTCGCGAAATAACCGTCACATTGTTTGCGGAATAGACCACTGGGGTAAAAATGCGACACACACGGTAAAACACCTGAATTATTAGGACCGTTTCAAAGCTCAGGAAAGGAGACGAGAGGTGTGCCACGTAATATATACATGGAAGATACAGGAAGAAGATATTGAGTCTGGTTCCAAATTTGAACAGTAAAATAACAACATTCTGGAGCGAACGAAATGGCAGGAAAAGCAGAATAGAGCCAGTAAAGATTACAAGTGCCACGGGCACATTAGAGAACATTGTATGAATATCAGAATACCACGGCGGTTGAGTATCCTCCAAGCAAGCGTGAGAAAAAATTGCCGTGTGGACTAAAACAGTGGACTAAAAGAAAAAAATACTTTCCTACAAGACCCATCTAATCACGCAGGTCCACATGTCTAGGTTGTACCCTCCAAACACACACCGAAACTACGACGTTGGTACAACGTTCGAACAAGTTTTAACACCTGCTAACCAGTTATAACAACCAATATAGCAAGTTGTAACAACGTTCTAATACGTCATAAACACGTTAAGCCAAGATGTAACAACTTTATTACAAGTTGTAACAAGCGGAAAATAGTGACAGTCTCGGTTTGTGTTTCCAGGGTAGTGGATATGTGAGCCTGCGGACCGCTCCAAGCAACAGTCTGTTGGACCAAGCTCTCACAAGTGGAGCCTGGTCCTGGGCCGGGCTGGAGAAGAACTCTCAGAACACTCTCCAGGTACAATGCAGATATTTGTAACATATCAAGAACAGTAATATTATTTTCAATATAATCGGCAGTGATAGGTTTGCTTTGTACAGTCCTAAAGGCGCTCATAGCAGATAAATATTACTATTACAGGGAGCCGGTGGCTGAGCGGACAGAACACTGGACGCGTGATCCTGTGGTCCCGGGTTCGATCTCGGGCGCCGACGAAAAACAATGGGCAGAGTTTCTTTCACCTTGAAGCCCTCCTGTTACCTAGCAGTAAATAGGTACCTGGGTGTTAGTCAGCTGTCACGGGGTGCTTCCTGGGGGTGGAGTCCAGGTCGAGGACCGGGCCGCGGGGACACTAAAACCCCCGAAATCATCTGAAGATAATCTCAAGATGAATATTACGTCTTCACCTATTTTACCCACGTACTTCAAAGTATTCAGACATATGACCTATGTTAAACCCCCCCCCCCTCACCCTCCACCCTCCCTAACTCAGCCATCACACACTTTAAACCTCCAAAGTGCGGCATAATCCACCAAGATTCTCATACCGTTACCACATCGGGAGGGAGGGAGGGAGACCCTGACGTCTGGATATTCCACCCTTAAGGCGCTTACGGTTTCCCTTCCATCATGTAACAGTGAATCACACTTGGTGTAATCCACGAGAGGAGAGAAGGAGAGGTCAGGGGAGGGAAGGGGAGGGGAGGGGAGGGGGAGGGGAGAGGAGAGGAAAGGGAGGTGTTTTGGGAAGGAGGAAGAAGGGGGTTAGGCGAACGGATAAGGGGTAGAGCGAGAGATGGACAGAGAGAGAGAGAAAGGTTAAGAAGAAAGGGAGGGAGGAGAGATCGTGTAAGGGGGAGGTTGAAAGGGGTGCAAAGATGAGAGGGATGTTAAGGTGTTGAAGAGAGAAGAGGAGAGAGATTGCAGGGGGGGGGGGGTGTTGGTAGAGGAAGGAGAGAATAACATTATATTTCTTTCAGCCATGATAAAATACCTCCAGTACACCTCTTAGATAGACACCGAAGATGACAAACTACTCCATTCCAAGAAGTAAAAAAAAGTATTCTTGTATAACAGACTCCCCGGATAAAACAGAGTTTTTTCTTTCAAACAGATTGCGAGGCTACGGACACTGATTCAGTGTGGCACCTGGGCACTCACACACCACAGGGCAACCTTACCCAAGACATGACAAATACTGCCCGAAGGTGTAACACGGAAAGTCAAAGTCCAGAGTCAGAAGTCAAGGTCAAAGCTGAAAGTCAGAGGTCAAATTAAATTTCAGAGACAAAAAGAAAGCTTTTCAAGACAAACTCACGGGCTCGAGACTTGAAGATACAAGTCAATTTGTCCACCGCCTTTTACCTCTTCGCTTCAAAAGGTATTTCCGCGTCCTGGATATAATACTATAATGAACTTTACTTCTGGGTCTGCAGATTATACTGCCGATTATACGACTAATCAGGCACGTCCGAGCCAATGCAACCCCTTTAACCTACGGAAGCCCAAACTCTGAAAAAGTCAACATTACGGTGCTCTAATTTCTACAAAAAAGTAGCATTTTCAAGATTAATGGATTGGGTACAAAATGCGAGGTCTTAGGCGAGAACAGTATGTGAGAGGAGCAGGGAACAGTGTGTGTGTGAGATCTCGTTAAGAGGTACATTACACACACGACAAAACTACGACGTTACTACAACATTCGAACAAGTTTTAACACCACCCAACAAGTTGTAACAACGTCTTAAATACATCATAAAAACGTTATAACAAGTTGTAACCACTTTACTACAAATTGTAACAAGCAGACAATAGGGACAGTCTTTTTTTATGTTTGTAGGGATATGATTCCACAAAGCTTGCTTTCTATTGGTTAGAGAAGAGAGGAGGGGAAAAAACGGAGGATATATAGTTAGAAGGAGATAATAACCAGGAGAAAGATGGGTTGAGACAGAGGGGAAAGTAACGAGGGAGGAGGAGAAAAAGATCCAGTCTCAGAAGACAAAACAATTCCGTTTGAAACCCCCCACAGAAGCGGAACCCAAGGGAGCAGCTAGCAGCCTCCGGGCGTATCGGCTATTGTTTCCGGAGAACGAAAGAAGCCAAAAATGCCATTAGCGCTGCTGGCGAGGGGGGATAGCAAGAAGTCAAATTAGCCGCCCGAGGGGAGAATTGGCCAGAACCTGAGGGGTTAACGACGTATAACCTCGGCAGCTCAGGATAAAAGAGGTTATCGCAGCCGCATTACACAAGACGCCATGAAAATCTTGGCGCCAAAAAATTGCACTTCTGCTGCGATCGGAAAGGGGAATAAAGGGGGGGGGGAATAGATGGAAGACAATACAGAAAGGAGGAAATGAATAAAGAAGGGAAAAGGTTGTAAAAAGGAAGGTGGTAGCGGAAACTATGGAAAATAATGAAGGGGATGAGAGAGAGAGAGAGAGAGGTAGAAAGAGAGAGAAAGAGAGAGAGAGAGAATCTCTCATCAAGCCAGAATCTCTGTAAATAACAAGTACATTTACTACGATTACCTAGCATCTAAGTACCCAAGTCCCGCCTCTATTGCTTGTTAAAAAGGGTATGTGCGTTCGACCTGTTGGGTGGGGGACTAATTTAGGGTTGAGGTCCCTAAATCATTGTCCAGGTGTTTAAAACCTATATGCTGCTCGGGTGCTCGGGTACTCACTAGGCCTACATGTCGTTTGGTACCCACGATACGGCCTATATTAGCACACAATCGTAGCAAAACGTCGAGTACCTCGATTAAGGACTATTGTGTTCTGCAATTCGTTGTAGCGATAGCTTGACAATAGTTTGTTAGGTGTCAATCAAGCAACGTTGCAGGCGAGTAGTCACAATAACGAGGCTGAAATAATGTACTTGATGTATTGTGCCATAGGCATAATCAGAGAACACTGTATAAACATCAGAGGTCCGCGGCTGTTCAACGTCCTCCCAGCGACTGTAAGAAATATTGCCGGAACAACCGTGGACATCTTCAAGAGAAAACTAGACTGTTTTCTAAAAGACGTTCCGGACCAACCGGGCTGTGGTGGGTATGTGGACCTGCGGGCCGCTCCAAGCAACAGCCTGGTGGACCAAACTCTCACAAGTCAAGCCTGGCCTCGGGCTGGGCTTGGGGAGTAGAAGAACTCCCAGAACCCCATCAACCAGGTATGTACACAATCGACTTGAGAATGGTCCAGGACGGACCGAAACGTCGTCGTCCCTTCACGTTCTAGTGTGTGGTCAGGTCATCAAGCAACGTTGTCTGAAGAGAACCATTCCTCGTGAACAAATGGACTTGTGTGACTCAAGTATGCCACGGATTTGGGCCTGTGTGTTGAGCTGTAGGACTACCTCTTCCTGGTAAATGACGTATGATACGATCAAATTCCACAAGTGAAAGATTCGCTAAGGGTTGAATCGTGCATATAGGGATACACGGCTACTTGCCCCAAAATTGCGCAATAGGTTGGTAAATGGATGGTCCACATTCCGAGCCATTACGCAAGACGTGATATTCACAATCACACTAACGTGATGTATCAATGAGAAAATCCACAGAAGCCGTGTTGAGGATTCGAACCAATGCGCTTGAATACCCGGTGTATAGGTTCGAATCCTCATCACGGCTACTACGGATTTTCTCAGTCGTTACATTTCTCTCTGCTGCACTAAAAAGAAAATAGGAGAATCAACGAATATAAGACTTCTTACATCATGCTGAAAGTTACTAAGATGAAGTGATGATAAAAATCTTGAGAACTAGTGAAAACTGAGGTAAAAACATTATGAATCATCCATGAACAAAGTGAAAAAGTGAAAAATGAAAAAAATAATATCAACATTATGGGGCGGATATAAACTACAGAGCCAAACGATTTTACATTTAACATTAACTGAAATAAAATGAAAATACTCATGTTAACGCGTAATGGAAATGATTACTTATTAAAGGCCTAGAAAACGTTATATAAATTATATTTTTAGCTGTATCTGCTCACCTCTTGAATTAATAACAATCCAGTTTGCATTTAATCTTAATTGCTAAAACAAGCCAGCCTACTCTGTCCTGCCAATACTGAAATTCTGGACAAAGAATGACATTTACAAAATGGGTAAAATCAAGCTTTGGAAACTGGGGAGAATTGAGGTACGTTGACCCTGATAACCATGCAATGACAGCCAGTGCCAGGGGTGAGTGCCAGTGACACCGACACAGTGCCACGGTGGCTGCCAGTGACACAAACACAGTGCCATGGTGACAATATAGAACAGCATTTTAGTGACGTTGTAAACACCTGAATGGACGGCCTGCAAACACAGTATGCTGTGTGTAATGCTATGTAATATATACAACTTTTAGTTGCATATATTACAACACACACACACAGAGGCGGGACCAGGAGCCAACGCTCAACCCCCCCACAAGCACAACTAGGTGAGTACACAGCCAGTCATGACATGGAATATTTCCATTCACACTGTTAGGCTAAAATTTCACCAATGTTAAAAAAACACTTTAATATGCACTTAAAACATGTTCCAAGAATTATTGTTAAAATAATCCATCCCAATCAAAATAATCATATTACCGTCATCCAAATGTAGCACATGATTCGAGTGTGAGTGAGTGAGTGAGTGAGTGAGTGAGTGAGTGTGTGTGTGTGTGTGTGTGTGTGTGTGTGTGTGTGTGTGTGTGTGTGTGTGTGTGTGTGTGTGTGTGTGTGAGTGAGTGAGTGAGTGAGTGAGTGAGTGAGTGAGTGAGTGAGTGAGTGAGTGAGTGAGTGAGTGAGTGTGTGTATTCATTCCAAAGCTCCCCAGTTCACACATTCCAAGTGGATCCCTATGCTCCCCCAGCGCAGCGTATTCCAACTGGAGCCTGATATTCTGGTTCCCATGTTCCAGCCGAAAGCAAGGATTCTCATCTTATGTATTCCAGCCGGATCCCAAGGTTCCTAGGGACCATGCCCGCACGCGCATGGGGAATCACAACGCGGGAATCCTGGAATGCAATAACCACGACGGTAATTAGTGCCACTATGTGCAATTCGCAACCCACGTGCGATGATCAGCGGTGAATACTAATTAGCTTCCGGGCCAGCGGTCGGTGCTCGTCTTGTGGGAGTCGAGGACGGTTGGGCACTGAGGCGTGGTTCTGGGAGGATGGGTGTGGTTGGCGGAGGATGGGTTGGTTATCTTGAGGTTATCTTTAGATGATTTCGGGGCTTAGCATCCCCGCGACCCGGTCTTCGACCAGGCCTCCTTGCTAGTCCCAGATACCTATTTACTGCTAGGTAACAGGGGCATCAGGGTGAAAGATGCCTCAGGACTACGAATCCGAAGCGCTGTCCACTCAGCTGTCAGGCGCCCTGACAGCTGAGCATACAAAATATATAATGGTGGGGCACTGAGAAGGGGTCGCATGACAGGGGCTTTGAGATGGGTGGTAAAGTTAGTGGTGGTGTGGCCGTAGTGCCCAGTGGGTGGGATGGAGGGGTATGTGGTATGTGATATGGTTATGGGCTGAACAGATGTTGTTGGTATGATCCTCATGGCCTGAAGACTGCTGGGGTTTTATGGTAGGATTAATGTTGGTGTGGGTACGTGGGAAGCCACAGTGGCCGTGGTGAATTTTTGTTTGAATTTTTTGAATTTTTGAATGAATTTGGTGAGTTATTGGCGTGGTGAATTGTGAGGAAGGTTAGTGAGGGCACGATCTTAAGTACTTAGCTCACAGTCGACATTGGACAAGATCTCTTATGCGAGATTTAGCTCTTGTACCCGCCTACTACCTTGGTTGTACTGTTTTCTTCCACTCGCTTGCGTTTCTAGCTTGTACATATGCCTTCTTGTCCTACTTTCTATCAATTTCAAAAAGCTGTCCTTATCTACCCTATTTCTCTTTCTGTGTCTTGTATGTAGTGATCATGTCCCCTCTGCTTCTTCTCTCCTCTTGTGTCGTGCAACTTGGTTCCTTAAACTGTTGTTATAAGGATATAATATTTAGAGAACATGAAAGAATTCGTAACTATAACCAGTTGTATATCAATATGAATCAGTGGTACACCCAAGATTCAAATAATAGTAATTATGACAGTTTCTTAACGTTGACGAAGTTTAGGAGGACGGACTGGACCAGGGGCAGATTCACGAAGCGGTTACGCAAGTACTTACGAACCTGTCCATCTTTTCTCAATCTTTGGCGGTTTTGTTTACAATTATTAAACAGTTAGTGAGCTCTGAAGCACCAGGAGGCTGTTTACAACAATAACAACAGTTGACTGGTTAGTTTTTATGCTCCTAAACTGTTTAATAAGTATAAAGAAAGCCGTCAAAGATTGAGGAAAGATGTGCACGTTCGTAAGTACTTGCGTAACTGCTTCGTGAATCAGGGTCCAGGTGACCAAGAATAAGTCAAATTAGTCCCAGTAGTTCTCTCATGAAGTTATTCCTCAGAGGTGTGGAGGAATAACCTCATAAGAATTAGGTCCGTTCCTTGCATACTTTTTT